AGGATTGACAGTGACTGTAGTCCAAAAACATCTTATGACTTTATCAACTACAGTTTGTGAAGTCTGTCTTGGTACAGCACTGTATGTTTTCTAGAACAGACCACTGCATCTCCTAGACATGCAGAAATTGTCTTCTGTCTGATAGAGGTCACTGATTTTAGTAACATACGTGTTCTACAGATTTTACAAAGGTGTTCAAGCTAGCAGCTTTCTGCACATGCACATGAATATTTAGCATATGACAACATTAAGTTCCTGCTGACTTCAGTGATGTAGAATTCAATTATTACTTGAGAAAAACACAAGCATTCTTTGTCCATTTAGAAAGCAGTCTAGAAGCTGGAAAGTTGTCTGTGTTTGCTAGTGGCGGTTATGATCCAGTGTCACATTCTTTCAGCTGTGTAACAGCTCATGCTTTCAGATGCATAATAGCAAATTCTTTGAATGATTTACTGCAGCAGCAAAAAGCAGCTGTGAACTATTTCTTAACCTGATCCTTAACAAACTGTATTTCTTACACCTCATTAAGAAAAATATTATCTTCTAGCATTGATCTGATAAGAGCTAACAGCAGCAGTAGGTGCCCTTTAGAAAATGTATCTAAGGGTTAAACAATCACAAACAGTCTAAATTTACTTTCTAAATACAAAATACAGCAAGTGAAATCTAGTCACAAACATAAATTATTCCTCCCTCTGTTTCTGTGCAGAGAGAAAAAGGAGCTCCATTGCACAGAGACTATTCTGGTCAGTTCCCATACCACACACAGCTCACTGTGAAATGAAATCTTAACTGTGTCTCCTTCAAGAACAAAAAGTGCCATTGCATTAAGTATTACTGTAACAGAAAGTGAGTAATGACCATAAGAATAATTCTGAATAGCAGCAGGACATATACAAACATTTTAGACTTTTTTTTTTTTTCAGAAGACTCTTCAATTATTCTTTTGACTGGAAATAAATATTCAGTTTTCACCCTTCAAAAGATCCACAAATAATTCAAAATAAAACACCCATTTTATTGCAAAATATGCGGTGACCATTACAGCTAAGGAAGACAGGTATAGCAAAAGAGAGTTAAAACTATCAGCAGGTAACGGCTACTGGAACTTGAAGGCACATCCAGAATAAGAAAGCTAAAAATTAAGGCTTATCCTGTTGGCCTGAGAATATGCTGTGCAATTAACATGCATTTGTTTTCCAGGCATACTTTCATTTTGCAAAGCACCGTATAAAACACAAAGACAGTTTGGGTATTACTTTGTTATCGGGAAACAAAAGGTAAAGAAGACAGACACGATATGCTCTTGTGAGGGGTTGGATGACAGCGGCATCCATATGGAAGAGACAGCAATGATTAAAGTTTAGGGACAGTCTTGAAAACCAGAGGAAGAAATGGTCAGAATGATGTCTGGTAAACAGCCACTCAAACATCTACTCTAAATAGTGCTATATAATTTTCAATACAGCATAATAGCCACTGCACGGTCAGGAGATTTACCAGGCCAGCCTGGTCTGTAGTGTCTTTCTCACTGACAACGTGTGGGTAAGTAAACACTTAGCAGAGCTCAAACTTTAATGAGAAAGTCTGCAGTTCTGGCACATTTGGGACCACAAACTGATCAGGATGGAGTATATATAGCTTCTGATAGCTTCACGGTGGGCAAACTGCAAAAAAAGCCAACAAAAAACCTAAAAAGGATTTACAAAGAATTGATCTCAGTGGTTGTGCAGCGTGTTGTAAATGTAAGAGTTTGTGTGGATCCTGAGAGACAGACGGGTGACTGGGTTTTAGATGGCTCCGAAGTCAACAAAATAACACCTTCATTAGCAGAGTCAAAAACGCAGCTGAGGTTCTAAAAGGCAGATACAAAGCATATAAATATCTAGGAAAATATAAAGTTTAGGTACATTCCTTGATGAGGAAAGAAAGAAAATGAAAGACTTACAAATAAGTAGTAAACACCACTGTTGACTTCAGTCATAAGTTAACCAAACAAAGCACGTTATAAGAAGTTAAAATAGTAAGCTGAGGTATTCAGAGGACCTAGATGGTATTCAAGTTGGCAATAGCCAATTATTCTTATCCTAGGATGCTCCAGCAATCAGTCACATCAGTGTGGACCACAAGTATGGCTTTGAGAATTCACAGAGCACAGAAGAGTCCAGGAAAGCAGTGGGACAAGCACAAGGAATTTTAAAATAAGGAGGCTCTGTCAGTCAGCCTAAACCTGGAAAAAGGCTAGAATAGTTTTCATAAAATACTACTTGTAGATGCATATGGAAAAGTAACCCAGCAACAGCCAGCCAAGGTGGATTTGCCAGGAACAAAGTATTCCGTACCCCACTACTATCCATCTCCTTTGTAAAAACTGGCCTGGTGGCCACAGGTGCACAGAATTCCAAATCTGTCTGTTGTTGCAGAGGCCTTTGACATTGTCATTCTGTGAAGTCCTCACAGGTGAAATCCGGGGCTCCAAACCATACCAACCATAAGGAGAGTCACAGCAGTACAAAATGCTCTCAAGAAGCGATTAACAAAGGCTTAATGGAAACCTGGGAAGATACTCAAGGGGTCCTGCAAGGCTTTGCCTGGGATCTATCCCATTCAGTGTGTTCACAAACAACTCAGACTACAGAGTAAAAGAGGACAACTGCAAGACTTCCCCATGACACCATACGTGGATGAGCTGTAAACAGCATAGGAGACAGGAGACAGGTCTAGAATGCTGGTATCTTGATAAATCTGGTCTGAGATCCATTAGAGACAGATGTGCAGACACTAAATACAGAGGCACAAAATGGAGATTATTAGTGGTACCAAAATGGATCTGGGATGTTCACAGACCAAGAACTGAATGTGAGTCAATGTGATGCTGTTGCAAAACCAGTGTGTGTTAACAGTACTAATATATGCAAGTACCAGAAGTTAATTGTTTCAGCTACACTGCACTAGCCTCAGGCAGCACTCTGGCTCACATTTTGAACCACACAATTTAAGAGAAAAGGATGCAGAAAAGAGCACCAACAATTGCTAGACTTAGAAGACGTGATCTATGAAGAATGATTCAATTAACTGGGTTTACTTAAAATAGAAGACCGGGAGAACATGATAGCAACATTCATATGAGGGCACTATTCATCACATCTATTGCCAATAAGAACAATAAGTAATTGACTTAATTCACAGGGATAAACTCTTACTGTGATAACTCTCCAGTTGCACGGTTCAACAATGGTACATGCTGCTTACAAGGTCATGGGATCCCTTTCATTGGAAGCTTTTAAGAGTTAGAGAAACACTTGCTAGTTACAGTCTTGGCAGATTTCATTCAATCTCAGAGCAAAGAGATGGACTAGATAACTTTTTGAGACTTCTCTTAGTCTTTACTCCTCTGAAAGATCTCCAGCATTTAGTAATGTTTTGCACACTGTTCACTATTTTGTAATAGCTACAAACAGGGAACATGCAAATACGTTTGCCATGCCATCAAAGTGCTGTGTGGACCTTAACTTCATATATTGAATGGACAGCATTTTTCAGAGGGAAGTTGTGCTGTACTTCCTGAAAAATCTGAGACACTGCTTGAACAGATTCCTGTCAGATAACAGTGTTGGGACAACTACAGATTCCTTTCACAGAAACCTCAAAGTTAAAAGCCATATAAGACAATTGTAACTGTACACCAAAGCTATTCCAAATTTTTCTGAAAGCTACCAAGATAACACAACTCCCTTAGTGAGTCTCTATTGTGCCTTATCTATGTAAGAAACTGTAACACAACAATGTATTAAAAAAAATTCCAAATAATTTTAAAAACAGACAGTAAAATTCCACAGAAAAAACTTGACATCCTCCCACTCTCTGGACTAGAGCAACATGATGCTACAGAAGATGAAAAATCGCATACTGAATAGCAGTCCAAAGCTGAGTTTTGGGGCTGAATTCAAAGTCCACTGTGAAATCTGTAAGGTTCTAAATAGGTAAATCAAAGGGCCCCAACTTACACACAGCAGAATGGGGCTGAGTAGACAGAAACACCAGCTGACCTTTACTTTGTTTGTGGATTCTGTAGACTAATCGAGTTTACTGGTCAGACCTCGGAAAGACCACGCTTCTAGCAAAGTCAAATACTTCCCAACTTGTTTCTGTGAAAATGGGAAACAAAACAAACCCCAAGCCTATCAGTATTTGATGATAAAAGAAATTCCAGCTATTAGCTGTTCTTATCAAGACAGGAAAAAGTTCGGTATAGTTTACAGAAATGCTCCAAATTCCTTCATTACTATGTGGTTTGCAAACAGCCCATGGTCATTAGGTTTACTTGAGCTGAAGTGTTTACAGCTCTACAGCAAATAACCAAATGGGATAGTCTCCAGGGATGTTTTGAGAGCACTGCGTCAAGCCAGCCATTTCCTTAAGGCTACATAGCAACTGCTTTCAACTTCTATTTCATATTTTTCACACAGCTTTTTGATAGCAAGAAACCAGAAACTCATAGAGATAGGTAGAGAAACTAGCCTAAGCAAGTCTGAGTAACACGAACCACAAAACTGTTCTTGATCACTCAGTAGTGCCTAAGATGGGCTCACCATAATCACAGGTGACTTTTACTCTGGGATCTAAAGTGATACTTTTTTCAGAGTATTTTAAGCCCTGCTTAAAATGTGATTTCAGACGCCACTTAAAAGAGATTCCCAGAACAGATGTTGCCTTCTGAAAACCCAAAATCACTTTCTAGAGTTGGTCCACAAGTATCCATGACAGCTGATGCCCATACTGACAACGTAAGAACCCTTTACCTAAATGCCGTCCCTACACGAAGATGAATCTCTCTCAAGGGAACATAGGAATCTTTCCATGACTATTTTTCTTTCTTGTGAAGTTAGACAGCTTCAAGATCCAGGACTGTCCACAGCCAGGAAATTAATTTTCTAAGTGCAGTAATACTTGTATTTAAAAGCAGGCAGGAAATATGACATTTTACATTTTAGTTTTTAAATTCTTTTTAATCAGACACATTACAATGCACAACTGTGTCTTTAGCCAGGTAACAGGATGCCATCCTTCAGATCAGGAAGAGATGATGGAGAACTAGTCCTTCCTCTGACCTTTTAGGTTCAAGGAGTATTGCAGATTCTGAATGAGGATTATTCCCACATTTCGTATAGCATTCCCCCTATACTTATAAAGTCTTTATAACAATTCAGTCATAGCTTTATTTCTGCAATTGAAACTGCAGCTACTGCAGCTAAGGATCTTACTGAACTGATGATCAATCACCCTTGCCTTCTAATACATAACCCCCCCCATTATTTTATAGGGTATTTTCAACTTGAGCATCACAAAATTTTGAAAATACAATTCTAACCATCCCACTAGTGATGCAGCTTTCCAGCTCTTCAGCGCTCATTAAAAGAGATTGTTTATGAAACAAAATCTTTTTATTGAATGCTACAGTCTGAATTGAAGAAATAGAACATATACTTCACCTCAGGACCAAGCTACAGGGATACATCCCAGAACATTTTCCAAAGTAAAACCAGATTACCAAATACCAATCAGTGCAAGAAACATCTTTATCTATTTGCACTCAGCGTATTTTTAGACAAACTACAGCACCAGAACATTGAAGTACCTCTCCCCCATACAGCACAAAGGTCGAGAGCAGATTTCTTGCCTCGCGGAAGCCAGTTTATCAGGATGTATGTATTGATAACATTAAAGAAAAATAAAAGAAGCGTTACATTCTGATGTCAGGTGTACAAGTGCAGTAGTGGATTACTCTCAGAGGAGACAACATTATCTATAAAAGTTAAGTGGTATACAGGTTATCCTGGAGTGACTATAATACAGAGAAACTTTATGCCAAAGTAAGTATTTACAGAGATACTGTCACAGCAAAGAGGACAGGAAGCTAGTCTCACAGAAGTAGTTCAATAAAGAGCAAATGAGTGGACAAAGACAAAGGCTTTGACTTTATATAATAAAATACCAAGTGCATTCTTTTAAGTGAATGAGTCTTCAAGACTATGGTCCTAGATTTTAGGAAGCCATTTGAAGGTCAGATGTACAGTACTGCTGCGTAGCAAGGGTTACTTGAACTGCCACAATTTTTACATCTGCTGTAACCTCAGTAAATTAACAATTCTAGTAAGCAAGTCACAGCAATTCTACTATTGCTTCTTTCTGCAAGGTCAGAACTAAAGTTCATAAATAAGCTCCCTCCAAATGCCAATGACACGGTTTTGATAGCAGACCATCTAGCACAACTCAGATGTTTCTCCACTACTTGTGCTGTACATCTGGGATTAGAACTGAGCACAGAACACTTTAAATGTAATTATGTTTAGCTGCTCAAATGTTCTTGGCCAAAGAGTTATTATCCAGCTTTTTCTTGTCAATGCAACTTTAATCACATCTGATTTCTTAAAGTAACCATATTATTTTAGTTACTTTGGCTCTTTTCCAACAGGCTTATTTTAAGTTAGTTGTGAAAAAAGGTTTTAATGGCTGGCTATTTTGCGTATTTCTTGAAGAGTTGCTACTGAAATAACCAGATGCATTTGAGGGGGAACATGTGTGGTTGACTGCTCAAAATACCATCTTTTCAAATAAAATTTTCAACTAAGCAGAGTGGCTTTAACCTAATATTTGCGAGCCTTTTTCAAGCCAGCATACCCAGAAGCATTCAATCCTGCCACCTCTCAGCTTTCTCAGCCTTCTACCATATATAAAGGATAAAAAGCACAACCAGGGTCTCTCTGGTACATGACTTCAAGGAACATGATCCCTCACAATAAAGGAATCCCATTCAAAATGGCTTGCAGTATTAGACTCCAATACACAGGACTGAAATGTAGAAGGGAGTCTTACGATTCTCATGCAGCTTCTAGGGAGTCTGCTGTGCCTTGAGCCAACAACTTCACTCGTGAATGGGCTCAAGCAGGCAGCACACTGAACAGTAAGTCTGAGCAGCTTCCCTTTTCACTTAAGATTAATTTACTGTAATGTACATTACTTTCAGTGGAATGATACTGCTCATGTTTTGGCAGGATGGGGAAAATTCCACTTTGTCGTCTTTATTATTTTATAAGGCAGATAATGCAGAAAGTTGAAACGGAACTTCTACAAGGATTTAATCTGTGATACTGTAAAATCAAAGTACTACTTTATTAAATGAGTTATTTTACACAATATGAACATCAATATAATTACAATTGTAAAAAATTTTTTATAACAAGTATGGACTGATTTTTCAGGATTTCCAAATAGGGCACAACTGTACATTTACACAGAATTGTCTTTGCATGAAGCCCAAGAGGGAACAGCATAAAAATATGAATGTTTCTGTAGCCCCTTCATTTTTGCTGATCAACAGTTTTAGAAAAGCAGCTGCAGGTTTGTTATGTAAGGTCTGACAGTAGAAGAGTCAATAGGTGCCATGATTTCACCTATAAAAAACAAGAATAACTCAGTTAAGCTGAACCGTTACACAATGCTGTTTACCTTGTGTGAACAAAATACCATAATACTGCTTTTTACCTCATTTCAGCCTTTTATTATAACCACTTTCAGTTACAGCCTAACAACTGGCTATTGGGAAATCTCTTCTATAGATAACACAGAGGTTAAGTTTTATATTTGAATGCAGAAAAATCTGCATTCACTTGCATAGCTTTGGGAACAAAAAGGCTCAATTGTTGTTAATATACTAAACAACTATTTCCATTGCACATTTTGTAGCAATAGACAAATTGTACATTGTTCAGAGAGAAACTAACATTTCAAAGCAAGAACTAAATAAAAGTATTCCTACAACTCTAAGGATGACCATTTGAAATAACATTAATCCCTTCTAAAACAACCTCCATGCACACTGAAATGCCACAGCCATTTCACCTATGTAAATATCAGCTTGCTTCTCCTGTGTAACAGTTCAAGGGTATAACTTTAACCTATAGTTAATCTTGACAGTAAAAGAAACAAAGAAAGTTTTAAGTCCCAGTTGGCGGTGGTAAAAAAAACCTGATTCACAATACACCTTTCCCAGACAACCATTTAAAAATTAAGGTAATGACCTGTAGACAACTTTACGCCTGAACATCAGCCAATTCTGGAGGAAGTGGAGTCTTAGGATGCTTGCTTTCAAAGTGCTGTTTGAAGGTCTTGGGATCCGGCATTTGTGTCTGATTAAAGAAAGACATTTAACTTTATAGACAGTACAAGAGTTAAATAATACTAAAAAAACCTGTTCCCCCTATGTTTTATTTTCTTTTTCCTGCTGAAGCGAATTTTCTCCTCAATGTTTAAGAGGAGTATTTAACCTCAGATTTTCAGAGACGTGCTTTTAAGCACTAGTATCACACTGTTTTGGCGTGTTCATCAATTGTATTATTCTTGCTAGAAACCTCCCTGCAGATCTTACACTTCACATGCTGGTTTGGTGGAAAACCTACCTCCTTACCATTTTCTTTTTCAACACCTCAAAGATAAATGTTTATTCTCTTCAGGATCAAATCTTTACAAAGGCTATTTCTTTTGTTTATGAGTAGGCCTAAGAGTTATGGTTGCATAGCTTGTGCCAAGCAGAGAATCAGTCTCTCAGACCACTACTACACAGTTGCAGGCATCAACTGTCCAAAGCGACTGCTGCTACAGCCTGATTTCACAAGTAGAGCTGGTTGTAAGTACTTAAGCGAACAGCTCTTAATTTGGAATCTTACTTAAGACATTCAGAGCAACAAATCTATTCTGGGATTGACCATTTAAGTGAAAATGGCAGGTCTATCTTTCAGTTCCTAAATGAGCACATTCAGGAAAACCAGCCAAAAGGAAAGTATAATCTGATTAGTGCTCACATTTCTGCTCTCCTGTCAAGTAATTTATTCTAGTAGAAGTTACTGTGTATCAAACTTAACACTAAAGCTTTTGGCACCACTACTTTTCCTCTCTACATTAACAACCATAATCATTGATTCTAAAATGGGCCAATTCCATGACAAAGAAAACATATTTCCATTTGGAGATTGAAAAAGAAGTGATCTTACTTTTTACATTTTACTAACACCACACGCAGACCCCTGCAATTCAAAAGGCAAGGTAACTACATAAATCAGATCTGTACATGACCTCTCAGATTTTCGCATATCTCAATTATCAGTGTAGCTGAGTTATCTGTGAGCAAGTCACATAACAGATGGAAATGCTTATAGCAACAAGCTAGACAGCCACTTAAGTATTTTAGTTTCCACTATTTTATCTTCTAAAAATTCTGCTCTAGGCTGGAAGACAGACCTGCCTACAATAATATTTTGTCTCTGGCTCCTCTTACCCTACAAACAGTGCAGGTATATATCAAGGCAGCCTTGGCTGCAGCCTTCTGATCATGTCCTTGTTTCTTTTTTTGCTCAGCTTGCTTTTTGGCATTTTTCTGCTGCGACTGAATCTTCTGCTGTCCACGAGCCATATCTACAAACAAAAAGAAGACATTTAGTCTACAAATGTGAGAAACTACTGCTGCCATCTGACTCCAAAGCCATAACCATGAGCACAATGCAGTCATGCACTGTCCATAAGACCTACACCTCCCCTAACATATACAACAAACATCTGTTCAAGCTCTTTACCATGTAAAAACTACCTGGTTTTAATATCATTCTAATAATACGCACCAGAATTGGTAGACCATTTAAGATTTCTTCCTCTACAAAGCTTCAAGGTCTACTTTTGAAGTGTTTTCAATAGTCTGAGTAATTAAAGTTTCCTTTACAGTTAATAGAAAATTATTTTCACAGGTACAGTAAAATTTAGGGGGTTTTGCTCTTCTTTTTTTTTTTTTGTTTGTTTTTGTTGTGGGGGTTTTTCTAAGCTTAAGACTCAACCTTTATTTCTAGAACTCGAACTGGGTTCCAAGAAAGGCAAATCAAAGTATTACCTAACCTGTATTACTGTCTTCTGGTGCATATGCTTGTGAGCTGCTTTGGAGTTGGGAATGCTAAGAACAATAGGTCACCCCTCTTTAGTCAGGGCTATTTTTACAAGTGACTAATCTTTTAGATTTTCAGCCAACTTTACACATATACATACTACTTAAATAAAATTGCCTGCATCAGAAGCCATACCCTATATAACGCAGGAGCATAATGGAAGCAAACACTACTGCCATATGCCATTAGGAGGTCCACCCCAGGAAACAAGATACAAAAATCACATTTTACGGAGCAGCAAAAGAGCGTATTTTACAACAGCAATGCTCCACCTGCATGCAGCCCACTCGAACACCCAATTCAGCTTGCACCCCACCCCCAGAGCAGACGCCAGGCAGGATTTGGGTGCACCAACACAGCAGGCTTCAGAGAATGGTTATATAACCCAGCAGCCCACTTTCCGCTATTATCTTTCTCACAATCCCTCATGGCCCACGCACGATCCAGTTGTGCAGCTCTCACAGAAGCACAAGGCTTACTATACAAGCACTGGACAGCTAGCAAAGCCCATTGTTTTCAGGAGAACTAGTAAAGCCTAATGTGCCCAGGAAGTTATCTCGTTGGTCGTTGCCCCTCTGCAACCCTGGCATTTGCTCCAAGTTTGGTACTGATGAGAGAGACACTGTGCAGCTACAATGGGTCTGTCGTGCAGCCCTTCCCACAAGGACAGACAGCCTTCCACTGAAAGAGGGAAAAAGGCCTATCCAAACACTGTCCTCCAGTAAACTGGCATGAAAAGCCCTTAAAACCATTATGAAAATGAAGATTCTATGAAACATCAACAACATCTGGAAGTTCACTAGTACTGCAAGAATTTCTGGAAACGAGCAAAAAGACAGTCCCGAGAGCCAAAACAGCTCCTGCAGATTGAGAGGCACCTCTCAGGCCATAGTCCAGGTCTTTCATGGTATATAACACCACCATGTAACCCTTTGCAGAAATATTACACTACATCTCCAGTGTTCCCTCCTCTTCCCCCATCAGTTTCTCTGTAGGAGAAATTAGAAATCCATATGCCTAACAAAATCGAACACAAGAAAACACAAGTTCTATTAACAAGCCTATAGAAATACATGGCATTTCCATAAGATACAGCACTGAAAGCTAATAAGATAAAAAATACCAGTCTGTTTCACTGTATGCTTTGGTTACTCCAAAACATCCCAGACAGGACCTCACCCTGTTTACATACAGCATGGCTCAACATTAAAAATAAACCAACAAAACAAAAAGAATAGATATTGCCAATAGCTTTGCATACACTAGAAGGAACTACAGGTTTTATTTTGGTTCTGTTTCACTAGCATTACAGTAACCCTCCAGAAGTCAGGGGGCTCTTGATAGAAGATACTTAGATGTAATAAAAAAAATAATTGTTTTCATAGTCTTTGCATATTACTTTGTATTTTAGTCACTTGTTAAGAGCTTGTTAAGTAGTACATTGCAACAGCCAACCACACTGAGCTTGTATGTATTTGGCAATGGCTGCTTTTACTTAAATCACAAACAAGAAAACATGAACAAAAACATCTGCTCAAAAATACCAACCTCCATATGACGCCCAAGACCAAAATCCAAGAGTTGAAGTACTTCAAATTACACTAATACAGTTGAAACACATGGAGTGAATACTCAACTGGAAAATTAAGATTATCTGGACTATCAGTACTCTTAAGAAAGTGACAAAAATAATCCCAAAGTTCGTTTAAAACAACGATGAGTTCATCCACAAGACTAAATCTGTATTCCAGTTGCACAACACAGATAAGTGTTGTTTTCCTTATCAGGCACACCCTCAAGGAGTCCAGCAAACCGACCTGCTGTTTTGAAATAAAAATGCGTGAGCACATAGGAAGCCTAACATCACAGAAAAAGATGCTGCCAAATCACGGGCATTACCAGGCAGCGGGGCCGAAGCCTGCAGCACGTTAATGCCTCACACAGGGTTATTTCCTTGTAAGTAACCAGAAGCTGAGCAGAGAGTTTCAAGTCCTAAAACTGGACACCGACAGCTGCTTCCGCTGTCACTTCCCGAAACAAACAGGAGCCTGAGGCACCCTGGCTTCCCCGTCCGGGCGACGAGGGCCTTGGGCCGGCGAGGCAGCAAGCCCGCCCCTTCGCCCGGCACCGCTGCCAGAGGAGCCCCCGGCCTGGACCCGGCCTGAGGCGCGAAGGGGCAGAGGGAGGCCGCGGCCCCCGGGAGGGCCTCGCGGAGCGGGGG